GTTTACCAACAGGCTATCACTATAAACCACAATTAGCCAGATTTACTTGGGAGCCGTCGCGACATGTGGTGTGGTCTGCACTCGACGCGCATCTGGTTTCGGCAGCAGAGGGCAGCTGTTGCTGTGTATAGGGCACGCTATCACCACCGCCTAAGAAACAACCAGTGGTAGTTACATTCTCAAAATATTTTTCTGAACGAAAACTTTAAAGCCGGCGCCCACACTGTAAAAGGCCATTGCATAGCTAATGGGTAGTGAAAACAATGGCTGGAGGGCAGTGCGTTTTGACGACGTTGTCGAAGGTGATTGCTGACCCCTCACTGGGAATTGTTGCTGGGACCGCCTCTTAAAGGAATCTTTCCGGAAAATTCTTGCACTCTTTCCTAACATGAATATGTCAGTTGTGATCACTGGATCACACACAAAGTTTCACGCATGAAGATTCGGTTTCTGAAGAGAAACAAACTCAAAAACCACACTATATGGACAATCGAAGGTAATTCGGCGGAGCCAAAGGCGGGGCATGGAAAGAAGTCCGCCTTGGGGCGGCTACGTATCAGGCGACGCAATGAAAGAATCGGGTTAAAGCGTGCGATTTTGGAGAGTAGAGACAAATCGATCGATAGAATAGGATGCAGTAGAAGTGTGAGATGTGAATGCAATAAGTCAAAAGGCCAAAAGAGTTTCTAGTGACAGCACTCCGTGAACCAAGTGGAAGCGTTCCCGCCGCCAGCATTTGTGACAGATGTCCGGCGGGAATTTGAACGCGTAGCAGTCCTTCCGGTTTTTCGAATTGTTTACCAAAACAAATGCAATTTTTGTTCTTTTCGTTCTTATCGTGAACGATGGGTCTCAAGCCAGTGATTTATGGGTGAGATAGAATCATGATTACTTCCGGAAGGATTCCTTAACGTCCTCCCACTCGATACCGTCATCAAAGCCGCTCCACCTCCAGCTGTCGTGTTCACAGCATTTGAGTAGGAGGCGTCGGAATGCCAGAATGCCCAGCTCGCCACCGTGTTGCCCTCGTTATGAGGCAGTGAAAGGACGGCGAAGGTGCTGATTACAGTTGCTTTGGTCCTTCACATCATAAACCCAAAAAGATCATTGTTCCAGAAAAAAAAGACGGATAATTACCGCCCATGTGAATAAAAGTCATGCAAGTTTACATTGATCTTTTCCAACATTTATTCATGCAGTTGAATGAAGAATACAATACAAAAAATTCATGTCTGAGAGATGTTCATGCTTCACTGAGAAATATTTATTTTACGTTTTTTTTCATTGTACAGAAAAACAGTACACCTCTAAAAGGATCGCGGCAGGTTTGCAGGGATACTGTAGATAAATACTATTATTATGAAGGTGGCACACTTGAGTGATAACACAGCACAAAAAAGCATAACTAAGAGTAGTATAAAGTCTTGGGAAAAGTCTTGAATCTTGGTAAAACTCAATTTCACAAATTTTTCCCATATAAGTGGATTTTATTCCTGAAGTAATATTTTCTAGGAAACTACGATACTATACTATCGGAGAGTCCATTATAACGAAAACAAAGAATCGCGACAGGTAGAATTAGAGATGATTGAGATCGGCACATTTTTGAGGGGGGTTGATTATTCATTGCTGATCTTGCCGGTCAGTACATGACGCAAAATTTTCCCGGACGGGGTCCTTGGAATTGCGTCCACGATTTGAACTGCACACAGATGTTTGTAAGAGGTGAAGGTTTCTGAAAAGAATGTAGGCCAAGTTTAGTATAGATCAGAGAACATGTTCCCACTTCTAAGAACATTCACTAACGCGATTGTTAAAAAAAACCAGTCATGAAAATTAGAGTGATAAACGCAAAAGGAGGAGATGGAGCAGTGACAGTTGGAACCGGTGGGGCATGGGTGACCGAAGGTTCAAATCTCTCTCTGGGTGGAGCGAGGTTTCCATGCGGTTTGATAGGGTGGTGCAGGAGTCTTTTGAAGGCTTAATAAAACATGTTGATGAAAAGCTAGAAGCCCTCTATTTCAATTCTAGATTAGAGAGCAATTTCTCCATAGTTGTTTCCTGCGACCTCACATGTCGTAATTGCGGACCCAGTGGTACGCATCCGAAAAAATCGATATGTACTGTGTGTGCTTTTTGATTCATTTGATGCTATCTGGTGTCACTTGTTTTGCTAAGACTGCAATTGCGACACGCTCGGGCACAAGGAACAAGTACTACGTAGTACGAAATATTTAAGTGTAATAGAAGAAAAACAGGGTCCGCCTAAAAGACCCTATCTTATGCACCTTTCACAAAACTGATCACTTCATTGATATCTGGTTCTCCAACAATGAAAGCTTTTGGACGTTGACCATCCACTTCGTGATCAACACCAACAACTGCACAGTCTTTCACATCCACCACATTGGCTTTAATCGCTTCTTCGATTTCATAAGGGTTAACCTGAAACCATAAAGTGCTTTATGGAACAGTAAAAAGTTGCAGAAAAAGGGCCATAACAAATGCAAACTGAAAAATGATTGGAAGCCACTATGAACGAGCTATGATGGATAAGCATAGATCGAAATCGAAGGTGGAACGGTTCTCTGGTAACATGTAACACAAGAGCACTGGTAAAATGGTACGAAATTCAGCTATCATCAACTAGTCCCTCCTTTTACTGGCAGAGTGTGTGATAAGTCGCAATGTCGCGCTCCCCTGTGCTTGAGAGTTCTGCGCACAGACTGCCTCGTTGAGAAGGGTAAAAGCAACACCCTCAGATCGAATTTTTCCATTCACAGCGGTTGGTAATGAAGTTGTGGATACTAAACTGACTAAAAAAATAAAGTAAGTTATAGATGAAATCTAAACAGGAACACTCCTTGAAAATGTAGGGGCGGGGCTGGACGAGTTGTGCGAATTGCCTGCTCCACGGCTCAACTAACCCGCGCTATTTGAATTAGCCGCTACGCCGTAATCCACGTTGCGTGTCATGGGGTGTGCGCGACGTAACTCGTCGCTAAGATTAGTCGCCAAATGCTGACTTTGTAAGACCCTAGCGCCATTGTCGCGCACTTTCGAGCCGCGACAACGGCACATCTGTGCTACTCGTGGGCTACTCTATCCACCCACTGATAGATCCTCGACACGTTCTGCTGGGGTGGGTGGGGATGTGCTTTGACCGTCAGCCGATTTTAAATGTGTACCAGCATCCCCATTTCCTCCCTGAGGGTTACCGACACGGCCCCCTCCTCCACTCTCTTTACCCCAATGGATCCACTCAGAATACGATACCCCTCCCCCGACACGTGACTTTCTATTGATTTTGAGAGCAGGTTACATACCCCTACAACGCCATAAAACTTGCTCCAGAACTGGGTGGGGTGGGGAAATGGGTGGGTTAGTATAATATGTAGTATGGAACTGTTGGTACGGCCATTGTTACAAATTTACCCATTCAAAAAGTTTTCACGGGAGCTGTAAAAATTCCCCTTCAAGCTTCAAGGAAAAACGATCTTCTCTCACGACATCTCCTTCAACCTCCATAAATCCGCCACCTTTCCGGAAATACAGTTGAAACTATCGCTGAGGCCACTGACAGGACTTACGCGCTCAGAAGTCTTTGATAAATGCGACAAACGTATTCGAATTCCTTCTCGATGGAAGGCTGAAAACAAATGTTCCACCTTCTTACCTGCCATCCCCTCACTTTGATCATTTCCTTCATACGGCCAGTGATGTAGAAGAATCCTTCGTCATCAACACAAGCCAAATCTCCAGTGTCGAACCAACCATATGGAACTGCACTGTAATACTCAAAAACAATCTCAGTAACAAAAATGCTCTCGAATTATGCTTAAAAAAGTGGATTTTTTCTTTAGCACCAGTGGAAGCAGTAGTCAGGGGCCTAAGGAAGCGAGATGTGGCCTTTTCGTGGCCAAAGGCGCGCTAGTTCAGCGCCCTGGGCTGCCAATCCTCCCTGAGCTCCGCCTCCGCCGCCTGTGCTCCGCCCATTAGTGTTGCTAGCAGCATCATTGTTCTTATCATTTGGATGAGGTATTCCACTTCGAGTGTGTATCCTATAACTTTCCCATGGAATGCGTCATCAATCAAAGCATGATCTTTGCTGGAATGATAGCGGCTATCGGTTTAACATGTGCAAACGACCTCTTAGTTGGTTGCTAGCTCGTCCATTATCGGAGGTCAACGGGCAAAGAAAGGGGTCCCATTTTGCGCGTTCTTGACGGATTTCTTTGCTTTTTTCGCCACTGGGGCATTATTCAGCATCTCCACTTCCACTGATCCTCCCCCGAATCTTATATCGCATCCTCGCTCTAACAGATAGGTCTTTCAGGAATGGAGGCGCTTTCTCGAACTAGTTTTCTGCATATTGTACTCATCGAGGACACAGAATGGTCCATTTTCCCTGAAGGTCTCAGGAATGGTCAAGTATGAGATACTGGCGAGTTCGATCCCCAGTGATGGATAATTTTTGCAACATAGTTTGGCGCCCAGATTGCCGCCAAATAACGCCATCGTCGAGTATAGATGCCATTGTCGTGTTCTGCGGCAATTTGGAAGCGCCAACATAAATTGCAAAAATTTGTCGTCACGGGGATCGAACTTTGGACCATTTCTTTCCCGCTCTCTTGACATACCCGGGGGCGTTCAGGAAAAATGAACCATGGTTCTGTGTTCCTCACATGAGCCTCTACAACGCTCATGTAATCCATTTTGAAAAAAAAAAGCTCCATGTCCTGAAAGAGCCCCTTTGTAAGCTGCTTCAGAAGTTGTAGAAACGCACGGTCGATTTTAAAGGTTCCGTCGTAGCGGGAGACGCGATGGAGTTATGAGAAAACAAGAGTACTATAAGACATTCAGTATGCTCTCGACACAGTATCCTTGCATGTAGGTTGGAGCCTGCACCAAAAGCCTGCCCACTTCGTTGAATCCCATAATATCTCCATGTTCATCAAGTATCTGAAATATCTGAAAATCTGAAACAATGTCTATCTGAATATAAGATAAGAATCTGAATATTGGAGGAACAGTAAAATATAGCTTCAAAAGTTACTGTCATGGAGGAATATGAGATTTATCGGAAAACGAGATGTGTAGCCATTATGCTATTTGAGTTCAATGATTGCAAGCCAGTAGCTTATGAAACAGTTGAGGGTCAAATATGGTTAACCTTCCGGTGTCATTTCCCATTAAGTTGTGTGGGCCTGTGGAAGAGGGCGTGGGTAGGAAATGGTTGCGAAGGAGTGGGTAAGGGGAGGGATGAGGGTATGTACTGGTGCATAGGTACCTAGGTTTTTGAAATCATGAATGGTTTTCTTTTGACACGAGATTTAGAACTTGAGACTAGTCGAGCAACTATCTCGCAGACTTTTTGGAGACGGAAGCTTGGTATCCGCTGGGCTTGATAGGCTTGAACTAAAGACACTAAAGGCTAACTTATGAAGAGCCTGATGAGTGGTACGGGGGCCGCTTAGACACTCACCTTGAAGCGTTATCCCCGAGATTTTTCAAAAGGATTTTTTGCATTATGTAGAGACATCTGCATGGAACACAGAGCTATGCCTTCTTTCTAAGGGTCCCCCTAACTCTTTAAAAAATGACCAGGCTTAGTTCATGGTTCGATTCAACGTGGTGACGAGTTTTACATTCTCGATTGGCGCCTGCATGCTGACGCAAAATGGGTAACGCGGCTAGCATGATTTGCACTTACGAATTGGCATAAGATTCCATCGAGGATTTTAAAAATTAGTGTCAAAAAGGTGTAGCGCCTTTTTTTTTCGCATTCAGAGTGCTCGGCAAAATGGAACCAAGTCCCGAGCCATGCATGTCCACCTACTCATGTGAAAAATTTCAAAAAGCGGGACACGACCTGAAAGAACATACTGGTTAGTGCTTCCCCATTCAGAAAGATGCTGTTAATAAAAGAGATCATGATATTGACAAGTATTTTCCCTGATTTTGAAGACGTCGAAAATCCGAGACTTCGGTTAATTCAGGCTTGCTCTGCAACGATGACAACTGGGATTTCACTGGGTCACTGAACTAGCACACGGTGGTTTTTTTTTTTTTCTTCAGTCAAGCCATAGACTGAAATCATGAAAAGGAAGAATTAGTACGAAACTGGGACGAAACAGAAAGGTTGGTGGAAGCTATTGCTCACGTTGGATGACGTGCTCAAGATTGGGAAGACGATGTTTCAGCGATCGAAGAAGTGTTTCGTCACATTTTGCCGCTCCCACGAACACCGTTCTGAAGTTTGTGGAGAGACTAGTGTCGATGCAGATTTTTTGAACTTTTGGTTACATACTTATTACAGGCCCATTTCACGGTTGCATAGGTCGATCCACTGAGCTCGAAAGTGATAATGGGCACAATGAACGCGCTGGTAGAGAAAAAAGCTAAGAAGGTTACCAAGCTCCCCAGCAGTGAGGGTGTTGCGACAGGTGCGTTTCATATCATGAGTGAGGTCACAACTTGTCGCATTTCCGAGCAAGCACACTGTAATTCTCGTTTAGTATTATATCTGGTCTCCTCTATAGAATCCTGATATAGTTTTAGGAGGGAGGACTATCCTTTAACTTTTATAATTATTTTCGACTTTTGTACCTTTTCATAGTTATAAGGTTACCCTGCGAATACTACATTATCAGAAACAACCGATCTGGAGTATAAAGGATAAAGCATTTGCCGTTGATCAATCCCGTTTTGGGATGCGGCACGCATTCTACTTCCATTTGTACATTCGTAGTGGCGTTTGAATGCGATGTGGCCTACAATGACTTGCGGGGGCCAGCCGATGTTCAAGTCAGTGTTTTTTATCCTCCCAGACAAGTCTGGTACCAATTAACCGACCCCGGAGGGATGGAAGGCTTGGTTTGGCCCGGGGCGACTCACGACCCAGGATTTGATCCCGGACCGCTCGCGTGGTGAGCGCGCCACTTGTCACTACACCACTTCCGCCCTAAATCAAAATACTGTGACAATGAATATTTGTTACAAAGACATGGCTTGTAGAATTGATGGAATGTTTCTATTCCTATCAGGAGAAAGGTAAGTTAATGCATTTTCATGGTACACGTGGATCGGGTTCGGAGTCTTTCAACGCATGTTCGGCAGTCCTAGCTCTGTCTCAATAATATTTGAAGCTTCTACATCTCCAGATATTCTACAAATTTCGAGTGTTCCCAAAAAGGTTTCTATAAATGATTAGGGAAGAGTTATGAGGGCTTTCCCAAACAGTGTTTCCTCTTGAAATCAGCGTCGCGCGTAATTTAATGTTTCTGTCTTAAAAATAATATGTTTTCAGAGGGTGATAAGATGGCAGCAAATTGTTACTAAGCAAAGATAGTTTAACTTTTGTTCGAGGAGACACACTTTTAACCGTAAAGTTGCCTAGAGGTGCGTAGCGTTTCTCCTCTTGGGGTCAGGTCATCTAAAACTGAAACGCCGTTCATTTGCTCGGAGCAAGCTTAGGACTAAGCCTAGGCCCTATGATAGGATGAGCATAAGCGATTTGTAAGCTAAAACGGTCATTATCTAGTATCAACCCAACTTAACATTGGTTAATGATGGCGCAACTGCGGTGACCTGACAGGGGGAGAAACGACGTTCCATTGAGAGGGATAGAAACAAAGTTGACGTTTGCGCCGCAATCGCCCACAGCTAGATACTTTCAGTAAGGTCGGTTTTTTTCGGATGAAACTGGATTAAACAGACAGTTCCTGCGAATATAAACACTTTTGCAGTAACCTGCGAAGGTGACCGGTTCACTCCAGCGCTTGCAATTTTAGTTAAGGAAATGTGAAAGGTGTGGGCGCTTTTTGTGGTGTCAAAATTTCGCTTCCATAAACTGCATAATGGACTCCAAAGATTAGCATAGAGCCTTGCGAGGACATTTGACCTCTTCCTTGAGCTGATGAAGGCTAGCCTATGTGGTCATACAGAACAGTACAGGTACCCATGTAGGTCATTCCAGAAGCGCATTATCTCTCAAATCGCTGAATGAATCTGAAACGAATTTTTTGATTTCTGTCGTGTTCTATAGAACCTCGGGGCTTTTCGTCATGATAATTGGTGGGATACAACGCCAGGTAAAAGAATAACAGTGAGCGTTACAGCAACCTTGACCACTAAACAACTCGAAGTGAATCGATGGTGATCTGGCTTGACTTTCAACTTCGCGTAGCGCCGGCGACCATTCATGTTGCACTTGACTAACCGGAGGAACCATAGATTGTTCCCTTTTCATCTGCCATTAACCTCAGGTAATTGTTGAGAGAGAGCAGAAACGGAAACAAGAGAAGATAGAGGCAAGTGCGTCACAGCCTACTCACCACGCAGAAAGTTGCCTCACGAGCAACAAACATTGTAAGCCACTGCAGCTTAAATGAGAGGGCCCTAGCTCCTGGCCGCGCAATTAATAGACCCAAGGGCGCTAATTGTTTTATTTAGACATCTTACTCACAAGAGAGATTCTTACGATCAGACAGAGTCGCACAGTCGTAGGTCAACTTTCTTCAGTTTCACCCTTCACCCACCCTTGCCTGAACGGCCTCCTCCCTTGTTTGCACCTTGTACAAACGAATACTTGACCCAGAACCATCGTTCAAATACTCTTGAGGAAATGTGAAAACCAATGAATCAAAAATTCGGGACGCTAAATTCATTAGAAGGGTTGACCCAGGGCGAAGCACTAGGGCGTTATCGGTGTGGTCAACCACCAATAAGAAGTATGAGCAGACCCTTCGAACCGTCAGCAAAGGACATTAGTTCAAGTTCAAACGATGAGAATGTGAACGATCCCAAGCGTTTGCCTCAAACGTCCAGAAATAGCGCTTTGAATAACAGGGAAGTGAAGCTCGAGCGAGACAAAAGAGTACCTGAGGCTCCTCAAGTTGAACGAGTCAATCCAGTGGATGCTTTACGAGAAAGTCCATGACGGGTGGAACGATGTTGATGGTAGTAATCTGTAACAGATCAACACATGTGGCCTTGACATAATTATAGCGAATGAAGGAGGAATCGACGTTAGGTTGGAGGTCGAAGAAGTGGAAGTATACCTAGTCGCAAGGCGAGGCAGGTCTCTAAGCGTCTAGACGATGCACGTTTCACAGCGAGAAACGTCCTGAGCGCCCTAGCAGGACGTTTGTGGCGCGACACGCCTACCGTCTAACCGTTTGGCAACGATAGCGTTACCGTTGAAGAGGACAGCACCGATGAGAGCGGCATCATTGCGGAAACCACGGCAATGAAGTGGACTCTTTTCTCAAGGTTCTGGGCCGTTCCTCTTGCTTTCTTTTTCATCCTTGCACCACCAGCCACCTCAAAGTTTGGAATGATCCACAAATGTAGGTACTTGTGTGTTCCAAACTATCGTGATTCGAAACGGAAAACACAAGCGTTGCTCATCCCACCGGAGATGGGGTGTTACTAGCACCAAGGACGCTAAGTAAGCTCTCGGATCAGTGACGTTACCAAATTGGTTACACTTCTCAGCCTTGGCGTTCCCTGCGTTTATACCGGCCTATGAGGAGCAAGTTGTAGGCCACAGAGCGAGAGCAGACTACGCGCTATTCACGGCACTGGTGGAGTTTCGAAGTGAAAACCGTGGATGGTGTTCCTTACTTATTGTTGGCTTTTTTTTCGATGAGAGTTTGAGAGAGTTCTTTTCAACCGCTATCAATGGAAGCAGAACCGCCGCTCTTACGCTAATCGCTCCTCCCCTATTGAGCTCGCTGTTAAACCTTATAATAGACGGGCAATATGGCTGGATGACCAAATTTGGACTCGTCTCAGGAAAAGGTGTTGCGCTGTACGCTCTTCAGTGAAAATTATAGGATAACTTGAATAACAGCAGTTCATCTTTGATGGCAGCACGATGGCTGGAGGGTGGTGCCATTTAGATAAAATCACTTGACTAGACCCCTCAGCGCGCATCAATGACTTC